TTATCTTTTAATTCAAAGAATGTTTAAAAAAAAATTAATGTATTATATATTATTTCTACTTTATAATATTATGTATGTATGTATATATGTGAAATTAATACTATAACTTGAAAAAATTAGTATTTATTTTTTATTCATTTCTTTCTATCTCTAAATTATTAAATTTTTATTATTAAAAAATATTTTTACTGTATTAAACAACATAGAAGTTAATTCAATAACAGATATAAAGTAAAAACTACCTTATAAATAAATAATTTTTTACTTTTAAAGGTCATTTTTACTTATTTCATTGTTTCATTTTTCTTGTCAATAAAAAATCTATTTTTATTCATAAGACTAAATTACAATAGTACAATAATAATAAAGAAAAATACACACAGGTACAATATATTATTTGCATAACAAAAAATTTTACTATTATTAAGCCGTAATGACATAATAAAGTGTATAGTATTATTAGTTTTGAATATTTATAATTTCATAGATTTTAGAAATGTTATTCTATAAAAATATGCTTATCTTTATTTTTTCTTTCTTCATATAATAACGTACATATTAATGGGAAACAATTGAAATTGATAGAAATTGTGTATATAATAATGTATTGTTTAAAGTAATGAATTATAATGGTACACTAATTTTTAATTTATATTTTTTCTCAATGTTCAGTTTATATATGTTTCCAAAGACTGAAATTTGTTAAAAAAAACAACTTTGAAATTACAAAAAAAAATGTTTATTCATATAATTGCTCCTTGTAAATTATACATTTTCCGAGGATATAAAAATTATCTTCTAAATGAAATAATATATTTGTATCCTTTTTTGTCTCATTGAAAATAGCTAATATGAATAATATAATTATGAAAAATATTTTTTTCTAAATCTTATAATTACGGAAAAAAAATAACACAACTCTTCCTGATAATATTTAAAGAATACTTTAATTTTGAATAATTTTATTATTATGTATGTTTTATTTTTGTTTTAGTGATACTATTACGAATTTTACTACAAAAAACAACTTTAACAAAATGTATATTGAAATGTTTTCTTACACAAAAGAACTATTAATTAAAAATAATGAAATCAATATTTTTTTTTTCTAATTTTCTAAGATACAAAATTTTCAAAAAAATATATCATTTTAAAGGATCTATGTAGCGAGAAGTAATGATACAAACTTTTTTTTGTAGAAAATAGAGATATTTAATATCAGCAAATTAATTTTATTTTTTGATGGAATAAATGAACATTGTCTTTTTTTTTCATAATAAAATAAGGAAATAACGATTATGTTTACTTTTATATGAGAAGTTTAAAATTTTTTGCGATATAATATAATATAAATTTTGTCCGAATTACATTTTTGAAAAATTTCCCCTTTTATATGAACGGTATTTAATTTTTTTACTAATTCTACTTATGTTTTCTAAAAGAAAAAAATTTTTTTTTTAATGACACCTTAATGGTGAGGTAAAGCAACACTTTTCTATCATTTACGTTTTAAATAAAATAAATGAAATGATAAATCAATGCTATTAATCATTAATGTTTGAAGTATAAAAAAAAATTAATACTTTAGACATGTTAGCAAAGATTTTAGTATATAATAAAATAAATGATTTAACAATTCTTGTATATATGTTTTATTTTCTTTTTTTATTTCAAGATTATTCGGTGTTTACTCCGATAAAACTTTATATAATATCAAAATTAATATTCGTAAATCTTTCAATTAAATTTCTTATGCAAAAATATTATATTCTCCTTTAATTCATAATTATTATTATAGTAATATTGTTTTTATTATTATAAATTTATATCTTCTTAACTGTAGGGAATTTGAGGAAAAGGCAACTTTTGTATAATGAAAAAATATGTATTGAAATACGAGTTATTTGATTTCTAAAAATATTTAATTAAACATAATGAACATTTATTAGTGTTCTATAAGGATAGAAAAATAAAATACGACCATAAAATAAAGAGAAAAAATAAAATATGAAAAATTCAATTTTTTTAAAAATAATATTTTTGAATTTTATTTATATCTTTTTTGAAAGAATAAAAATTGTAAAACCTTCTAGGATACGTTTATTATCCTACGCAAATAAATATTTTGTAGAGGTAATGCTATATAGGAGTATCAAATATAACATATATTTATAATAGATTCGGATTTTATGTGTCTTATGAATGTGACACTTAAAATGTTATTCATGTATGTTTTATGATAATTTTTGTCTTATTTTAAAAAATATAGACATTTTAGTTTATGCCTTCCAATTTTTTAAAGATTTTCCCTTTCCTAAAAGTAAATAGATATTTTTTGTCTATTTTCTTACAATGTAAAAATATTTACTAATTTTACTACATTTTTTGGATTTATAATTGTGAAAATATTTGCTACTTTTAAAATAAAAATTTTATGAATCACATTTTTTTTCATTTAAATGTGAAAATGTTTTCATTTTTGTTCTGTGAAAATATATGCATTTTTTAAAATAATTCACAATAACTTATCAAAAAATATAAATTTTATTCTAACAGTGGTATTTAATAGAAAAAACAGATAAATTAGAGAATATAAACAATTTAAACTAGTAATTACCTACTCTTCTATCTTAAAATTTATAAAAGTACATATAGAAGTGTAAAAATAAGACATGTAACATAGAGCAGTTTTATAATAAGAAGATATAGTATATAAAAACTAGCAAAATGAAAAATTTTTAACATATTACATTTTTTTTTCTTTATAACAAGAAAAAGGTAAAATTAAATATTACAGAAAATTTTTAAGATACATAAGAGATTTTTTATATTTAAATTTGCGAAATTAATGAATTTTCATGTTTTATTCATTATTTATTGTTGAACTAATATTTTCATAAGACATATTATGCGATCATATTTCTAATAAGGCTTTATATCAAAGTATAATTTTTTCCTTTTTTTTAATAAAAAATAAAGTTACAGAAAATATATTTACAAAGAATAAGTTTCAAGTATGTATTCACAATTTTTCTTACTAATTTTTCTAAGGAGAATTTAGATAAAATTTTTTATTTACTATATTTAAATTTCATAGCATAAGTTTAATTATAAAAATAAAATATTAATTTTAAAAAATAAAATTATGAAACATAATTTATCTGAACTAAAATATAAGTATTTATGAAATTAAACATAAATTAATAAATGATCATTTAAAAATTTACAAACTTTTGATATAGATAATATATATTTTTTTTTCTAATGTTTTCAGTTTAATGCTATATAAAACTCATTTAAAAAGGTGAAAGAATTTTACCAAATATTATTTTCAAGCATTAAAATTAATGATAATTCTTAATCTTGATAATGAAAATAGAAGGAGTATAATGAGAAATAAAATTTATCTCAACAAATTTTAAAAAACAATGAATATAATTTAATGCATAAGAAATTTTATTTAATCATTGAACTTATTCTAAATAAAAAATGAATAATCTTTTATAAAGTTTAGGAAGAAATTATTATTTAAAATATATGCTTATTCTAATAAATTTAAAGCGTGAGATTAACTTTTTTTCCTTGTAACTGTTTACAATAAATGGAAATATTACTATTAAAATATTTAATCACCGGAAGGTTAATATTTACAGAATATGGTTAATATATGTTAATGAAACTTTATGTATGGTTCTATTAAATATATAATATTTATAACTGTTTTATCTCTTAATATTAAGAAAAAAATTATTTCGGATTACAAATAATCAAATTTAACATTTTAATTATTTCTTATATTTTTTCTTTTTCTTTGTCTATATTTTTTTTTTGGAGGTAAGGCACTTTTTTTTCTATTTGAAAATTGTGGTTTATTATGAATAATATATGTTACATTTTTAACGGAAAATATATTTTCTACATATAAAAAAGAAAAAAAAAAAAAAATAAATTAGAATTTATTATGTATGATTAAAAATAAAGGAAATATTAATTATTTTTAGAGAAAATAGAAAACAAGATTTTACTAAAAATCTAAAAAAAAAAGCATGTTTTTAGGACTTATTTATTATTTATTTTTATCTTTTTTGCTGTATTTTAATAAGGATTCAGTTGATTTGTTTCCATTAATTTAAAATATTTTTGTGAAATTTCATACAGTGTATGAATAAATTTAAAAATATTCATATAAGGCATAATTATGTATATTACATTTTTACTTAAGTCATATTATCTCTTCGTATATTTTTAAATAAAGGTACTTAAAATTATTTAAAAAATTTTTTCATTTGTAACTAAAAATATATTTTTTCAAATCATTGATTATACTCATATAATTTATTTTTTCTTTAAAATCTTCAGTGGTTTTTCTGTTATCAAATTATAAAAAGGATTTCTTTAATAAACTTTTTTTTTTATTAAACAATTTATAATTTATATAATGAATATTTTTTAAAAATCATTTTATATGAAGAAAAAATTGTTTACAAAAATATATTTTTTAATTTAATTTTCATTTATTTAAAAAAGTAAATTTTTTTTTTTTTTATATTTAAAAATTTATTTTATATAATTTTTTCTTTTTTCTTTATTCAAGGACATTTGTAGATAAAATATATATTTTTTCAATGAGCATGTACTTTAATATTCATTTTTTTTTTTTACTTTTATTAATTTTGAAATAAAAAAATTATTATTTAATAATATTTTTCTATCTATTTATATGCTTATATTTTTATTTATATATATATATAATTAAAATATTTTTTTTTTTATTATATCTAAGAGCGTTTTAAAAGAAACATAAGGTTATTAAATTATTTTTTTTTATAATTAAATTTATAATATTTTAAATATTAATATTAGAAAATTTTTTTTTTCTTCTTATTTTAAAATTAAGAGAAACTTAAAATTTTATATTTTAAATACTTAAGAAAATAACCTAAGTTAAAATTAAAGTTAAATGATAGAATTATAAATATTAAATGATCATTTTATAATATATGGAACCCAGAGATCATTTTGATTCAAGTATTATGTTTGTTGATAATTGTGCTGAAAAAGAAAATGTAATAAAAAATTTGTATTTGACAGCTTTAACAAAGTCAATTAAGGAAGTAGATGAAAAAAATTACTATTTAATTCAAACATTAATGAAATATGAAAATGAAATAAACAGGTGCATTGATATGAGCAATTACTACATAAACGAAGCTCATTCGTCTAATTTAAAGTCTGAGAAAGTAAGGCGCAAATTGAGGATTCATATATATACCATTTTTAAAGATGGGGAAAAAGAAATAAATTATCCTTCTGATATAAAATATGAAGATTCAGTAAATATCTATAAATATGTTACTCCATCATCATTTACTTTTAATATTCATGGTTATATATTAAACTCAGATGAAAATGATGATTCATGTGATAAAGAAAAATTATTTTCCAAAAAATCTTATAATGAACGCAATTCAGATGATTTAGAAAAAAAATGTATAGCAGCAAAGGAAATGGATAGTGAAAATTCATATAGTGAAATTGATGATATGTCAGAAAATAATGAACATATTGATTATTACAATACAAATGTTATGAAATTCACTTCCTTTTTTTCTACTATAATGGTTATAAGAGATAAAGAAACAATTATATATGATAAAAAAAATAAAAGTTATTACGATTGTGATAAGTTAACTTTTACTCGAATAATTAATGAAAAAAAAAACGAAACAATTAAGATATTTCTTTTTTTAGATCAAAAAGTTCCTTTTTTTGAACTTTCACCTCAATTAAAGAAATTTATGAAATCCTCTGAAGAAACATTGCCAGAAATAATAAGGTGCATTTATGAATATAGTTTAGAAAAAGATTTAATTGATTCATGTAATATGAAAACAGATGAAGTATTAAGAGAGATATTAGAGGTAGACGAATATGAATTTTCCGAATTACCTAAACTTTTGAAGAAACATATTTCTATTCAGAAACCAATAGTTCTAGAACATACTATTGATTTAGAAAACACCGAAGAATCGGAAAGTATATATGATATAGTTATTGATACTTTTGAACCTTACGTTTCTTTTGAGGATGGAAAATTTAAAAAATTCCTTCTTAATTCTCATCACTTAACTAATTTATTAGAATTTTTAAAAAATACTGATAAGGAAGATATCACAACTAATAATACATTAAATGGAGATACTGTTTATGAATATAACAATAAAAATCATAATAATAATAATTATAGTGATAAATTAGGTGAATATAAAAAACAAAAAAACGAGTTTTCTTCGGTAGAAAAAAGTCAAATAGATTATAAGAAAATTACAAATGAAAATATTGTCTTGGAAGAAAATCAAGAAAGTGAGAATAAAGATGTATTAGTAAGAATTAAAAATAATAATAATTTAATAGACAGGGATAATGGAAATGTGGAAAAAGGAGAAAAAGAAGAGAAAAATATAAAGGGTGAAGAGGTTGAGAAAGAGGAAAATAATGAAAAGTGTTTAAATGAATACTTTGAAAATAGACATAATAAGATGGAAGATAAAGAAAGTAAAAAAGTAAATTTAATAAAAAATGAAGAAAAAGTTTATAATAAAGATAGGTGTGAATATTTTGATGAAAATAAAAAAAATACAAACATAGCTGCCATGGGAATATCCATATTCGAAAAAATAAATGGAATCCAAAAGGAAATAGATGATATGGATGAAAAGATTATAAATATTTTATGTAAAATTAAACATAAAAATAGTTTAAGATTACATTATAAACATTTTTATGAAAATCCTTGTGAATTTATTGATTATATAATGAATAGCAAATTTTCTGTAGATTATGAAAATATAAATGATAATAATTATATATATGAACAAGCAGCTAATATTAATGATGATAACTATTATAAGCTCCCATGGGTTCACAGGGGTATTTCAAAGTATTTATTAATTAAAAACAAAAATTTTGATGATGTTCTTAAATCTGTTTTAAATTCTATGAATTTAGAATATAAAAGAAAAATGAAAAATATGAATACGGATACAAATAAAAAACAAAAAATGTTTTTAAGAACAGAAAAAATAGATCCTCACAAAGGATATATGAATTATGCTTGTAATGGCCAACAAGAAATAAATAATGCATATTATTATTCCCCTAATAAAAACATGAATTATACAGAACCTTTTAATAGTTCAAATCAAGATTATGGTAGTGAAATGAATTATGCAAATAATATGCCTAATTCCAGTTTTATGATTACCCCAATCGTTTACGACAAATTAACAAAAAATATGAATTTTCAAAATAATATACAAAATAATGAACAAGATAACTTTAATTCATATAACCAAATGGGTGCATATTCTCAATATGTAAATGTTCCACCTAATGAAGTATCTCCTGAAAATAATTTTAATTCATTCTATAATATGGGGACACCAATGGAATTATATCAGAAAGAAAATTTCTGTAATTCTAATAATATTATTCCATAAAATGTAAAAATTTAAGAGTATTAAAATATAAAACTTTTAAAAAAAATTATACATTATTTTTTTTTTTAAAATAAAAATAAAATTTTTATTTTTCATAATATATTTTTAAAATATTTAAATATTATTTATTGATTATACTTTTTTTTTTTTTTTTTTTTTTTTTTTTTAATTTCATTAAATAAACTGATTAAAAATTATATTTTTTAGTTAAAATTTTTTTATTATAAAAAAAAGTAAATAATTTAAGTATTTTTTTAATTTTATTTGGTTGCGGGTATTAATACATCTGTAAACATATATCTTGATGGTCTAAGTAAAGATCCTTTATTATCTCTTCTGTCAACATAATCTCCCCAATTTCCAGATAAATTATTGTACGTAAAATTTAAAGCAAATGATCTAAATGGTTTTTCAGATGATGGAATTGCAAATGTTTTGGTGTCAGGATTATTTTCCCCATAAGGTATCATATTATATCTCCATATATGTTTTGGTTTAAAGTTGACTATTGATTCATCATCTTTTATGATTAAATATTGACATAATTGATTAAAACTATTTTTCTGTGTTGCATCTTTCAATGCCTTTTCCCTGATAAATAATAATAAACATAAAAATATTAGTGTAGTTAAACACAAAAGTAAATTAAATATACATTAATGATAGATAAAAATCTCAATATAACATTTACGTTTAAGAGTAAATCTTTAAGAAAATTTAATATGTATATATGTACATTTTTTGTATAAGAATTTACCATAAATCTGTAAGTCTTTCATGATCTTGACTATAATCATCAATATTTTTATTTTGCAATTCGCTATGTGTATCAAAAAAATTATTTTCTTTCATATCATCTACTACTCCTAGCTCTAGCATATTTGTTACATCTATAATGTTTTGGTAAATGTTATTATGATATGTAGTTATAATAGAAGTGGTTCCCAAAAAGGCCAAAAGGGCTATTAATTGATAACGAATGTCAGGGTTATGTTTTAAAATAAAATTTTTTATTGGATTAAAGCAAAATCTACAACAACATTTCAGAGTTTTGTAAATATTTTCTACAATGTAATTAATATAATATTTGTATGATCTTATATGTAATATAAAGTTATTATATCTGAAATTTTCTCCATAATATGAATTATCATACGTAAAGACGTTGTATTTTTCTTTATCTTTTACAACCCATTTAGGATGTTGTTTACCACCACTGAATCTAACTTTGCTTTTAAAAAAAAATCTCACATTATTTAATCTCAACTAAAAGAAATAAAAGATAAATATTAAAATATGTATTTAATTATTAAGAAAAATTATGCATACAATTCATCTTCATATATGTGTACATTAAAAAAGTTATATTAAATTATTTTTCTTTTGATTTTATTATATATATAAAAAAAGTTAATTGTAATATTCTTTTTTTTTTTTTTTGCATTCTTTATTTTACCATAATTTATAGATATATTTAACAAAACATGAAGATTATTTTATTTGAAATAAATCTTATTCGCTATATAAATTTCTTAAAAATTAATTTTTTTTTGTAATAAAATATTTTGTAAATTATTTTTTTTTTTTTTTTTTTTTCTTTTGCATTTAAACATTAAGAAAAAAAAGAAAATACTAGTAAAAAGGATATGAAATATATGAAATAATAAAATAATTAAAGGAATTATATATATAAAATTATTATAATTATATTAAGCTTACTATTTAATAAAAAAATGCTATTTGTTAAATAATTTTTTTTAAAAAGAAAAATTAATCTTTCCTTTACACAAGAACATTTGAAGAATCGATAAAAATTATTTGTAATTGCTAGGAGCATTATTTTTTTTTTTTTTTTTCTTTCTTTTCTCTAAAATTTCATTTTTATTTTAAATTATGTATTTCATTTCACAAATTATTTATGAAGTTTTTATTTTTTTTATTATTTTACAGTATATTATTTAATATTATATTAAATTATATTTTATTTTAATGTATCATAAAAATTAATTCATTTGTTTTACAATGTCAGAAAATTAAAAGTGCAAAAATATAATATATTTTTGTTACATTTATATAAATAATTTTCAAAAAATTATAATTTCATTTTAATTATAGGTTTGAAGTGTTAATTACAAAAAAGAGGAAAAAAAAAAAATAAGTATAACACAAAGAAATACTATAATACTTCAAATATTTATTATAAATAATAGTTTATTAGAATATTTCAAGTTTTTTATTTAAAGAAAAAATAATAATATTAGTTTATTATCTTTAAAGTTAACTTAAACATATTTTACGTAAAAATAAAGCAAAAAAAGGGGAATTATTTTTTAATATAAATATTTTAGATTTTTTTTTCTATTATATATATATAAATGAAAATACATTTTTTTCATACATATGGGAAAAAAAAAAATAAATTTTTTCTAGTTTTAAATAAAATTTAAAATTATTCAATAATATAAAATATAAGAAAATTATGATATAAATATTATTTTATTTAATTTTTGAAAATCTTGAATTAAAAAATTAGAAAATCAAGTTTCACACATAAAAATATTGTCTATGAGTAGTTAAATTCTTAGAGTAACAAAAAAAAAAAAAAAAAAAATAGAAAAAAATAAAATAAAATAAATATATAAATTGAATTAAAAATAAAATAAAGAGTAAAATTTATAATAAAAAATAGAATAATAGTAAAGAATCATAATCAATGTAGCAAAAGGTAAAAATTTTTTTTTTAAAATTTTGTTTGTATATTTTTTGTTATACATTTAAATTATGTGTATGAATTTAATGGTTTACAGTCTAATGTTATGAATTTTCATCATTGTAATATTCATTATCAATTTTCCCAATATCATTTTCGTCTTCAAAACTTTCATTATTTTTTTCAGATTCTTTTTTCATTTTTCTTTTTTTAGCATTTTCTCTATACAAAAAAAAAAAAAAGAAAAAATAAAATAAAAATAAATTATTAAATTGTAAATACGTAAATACTTGTGCATTTATTTTAATATTAACAAAATATAGAGGACTTATTTTTACACAAAAAATAATCTATGAAAAAGTAAAATTATTTTATTCCAATTTTTTTTTTTTTCTTACATTTCAATTTCTTTCCATCTTTTCATGAGTAAAAGATATTCATATTCAAGCCTTTTTCTATAAAGAACAGCCAATTCTTTACTTTTTTCGAAACCATAAATGCTCACACGAAAATAGCAATCACATTTAACAAAAAAATTGTGCTGATAATTTCTTTTACAAAACAAGACACGCCATGCTCCACTAGCATGCCATCTTACTCCTTTAACATTACAACAGTACTTTTTCCAGTTAATATTTTTTAAACTTTTTAGAACATCTTCTCTGTTTGAATAAATAGTTCTTCTTATAAAGGAAGAGGATAATAAAGATAAAGGAAGAGTAGCATTCTTTTCAACTTCCCTTTTATTATATTTGTAATTTAATAAATAATTTTCGTATAACTCAACTTCTTTTTCATTATCAATATTTATATTATTTATATTAATTTTTTCACTTAATTTTTCTTTTTCTATATAATTTCTATATTTTTGTATATCAAATTTTTCTTGGTGCGGTTGTATCAATTTTAACATATATTCTAAGAAAAAATAAAAAAAAATATATATATATATATATATATATATATATTTATATACTTATATTTTTGTCCTCAATTTTAATTTAAATTTTAAAAGAAATATATTTTAAATAATATCATATTGTTGTACATAGAGAAATATTTTTAATGGTATAAATATTAAACGTATTGTAAATAAAAATAAAATGAATATTACTTCTTTTTTGAACAACTCTTTTTACTCCAAAGCATTTTTTATCAATAGAAAATATTAGGCTGATTGATTTAGGTTGAATTTTACATGATAAGTAATTTGAGAAATATTTATATAAAATTTTTTGATTATTGAAATACATATTTTTGCATGAGCTTTTATTTAGATATTTTTCATTCAATAACAATGAATTAAGCATTTTATAAAAAAAAAATTAAAAAAAATGATTTACTAAAATAATAGCATCGTTATTCTATCTTTAAATAAATCTCATTTCCAAAAAAAATTTTTAAAAATACAAATTTTACTTTTTTATATTTATTTAATTTATTATTATAATTTACATTTAATTTTTTTTTTTTTTTTTTAAACAAAATAAATTAGAACAAAAAAATAAATGTAATGTTGAAAAAAAATAAATAAATAAAAATTACATTGAGAATATTCATATTCAATTACATTATTATTATACTGTATTTTATTTTAATATTTTATTTTATAAATTATTTTACTTATTCATTATTTATGAAGACAAAATTTGTTAAACTTTAAATGAATAAATTATTCCATTTATAAGAAAAAAATAATTTTTATTGAAGTCTTTCGAATATTTGAAAGAAGAAATCATTGAAATCTATTTAATTTATAGTTTTTTTTAGAGGGATTTTAAATTAAATATTTCATTTTAATTATAGATATAATTTTTTTAATTGTAACATTAATGAAAACATATAACTATATATTAAGTGTTTTTATTATAATAATAATGAAATGAAGTTGCTTTTTTTAGTATTAGCATATTTTTAAAGTACGATTCAAAAATATAATTGTTAAGATCTATAAACATTTAAATGTATAAAAAAAAGAGAAAATTAAAAATAGGAAATTGATATAAATATATATAAAAAATTTGTTATAGAATTTTGACGAAAACAAAAAAAAATAAAAATATCCCTAAAAAGATGGTAAGGAAAAATGCATTTTATTTACCAGCATTATTTTTAGGTGGAGCATCTTTAAGTCATTATTTCGCATCAAAAGAGCTGGATGAAATAGAAAAGGAAGCCAAAAAAACTATTTGGGGATTTTCTACTGGTTTAGTAATTGGTCTTGTAGTAGGCATTTGTATTGGGACAAATTATCATTATATATTTAATAAAATTTTTTCAATTTTTGATTATTTTGTAAGAGATTCAGAAGAAAAAAGTGATTAATAAATAGTCTATATTTTTTAATAAAGAAAATTGATATATATATATTGAATAATTCTCGTATCAGAAGAGAGTTATGTAAATATGATTTTAATTAAAAATGTAAATTTATTTTTACAGGATACGTCTATTTTGAAATATTTTAATTTGCAAAGAAAAAAAAAATAAAAAGGAATATGATTATTTATCTTTACAAATTTTAAAAATAGTAACATAATGCAAATATAAATTTTTCTTTTATTTCAATTTTTCATATTAGATACCTTTTTAATAAACTTAAAATATTCTTACAAAAGTATATATATATATGCATATACCAAAATTATTAATATTTAAATTAATAATAGGAATCCCCATAATTTTTTTTTATTTTCTGATTTGAAAGTAGTTTGTGTACTTTCATCTGTTCATACACCTTTTTTTTAATATGGCTATCATTAAATTATAGAGTTAAAATAATATTAACAAAACTTAATTTTTATTTGTTTTTTAAAATACAATTATTAATTTTATAAAATTATTCATTATTATAGAGAAAATGAAAGTAATATAAATATTTTATGGTTGTAATTTTTTTTTAAAATGTGAAAGAAGAGCAAAAATATAATTTCCAATTAGAAATATACAAGTTAGAAATTAATAATATATAATTTATCGTTTTATTCTTATTTATTCATTTTTATAAAAAAAGAAAAATATATATGAAAAAATAATTTTTTAATAACTCTTGAATGAGTTAATAATATAAAAATATTAAAAAAAGAAAAAAAAAATTATATCACAGTTTTTATAATAAAATATGTAACTTTTAGCATGTGTTTTTTCGTAACTCTACTTCTTAAATACAAATATACATTTGTATGTTAATTTAAAAAAGGGAAATTGAAAAATACTTATATTTCTATAAAAAAAAATATATATATATTCTTTTGATACATATTTTAAATTTTTAATTTATTCACAATATTCTTCATATATTCAATTTAATATGAAAAAAATTTTCAGCATTGAATTATTCAAAGCTTTTTTTTTTTTTTTTTTTTTTTTTTTTTGAAATGCATATAAAAAAATAAGAAAATTTTTTGAAACTTTTGAATTATTAAAAGTGTGAAATTTGTAAATAAAAATTTAAATTACATTTTTCATTTTTGTTTAATTTATTTTTTTTTTTTTGAAAAATAGTGACAATATATATGTATATAAAAAAGATTTTAAAAGAAATTTTGTGAATAAGAAAAAAAATTGTAAGTAAAAATAACAATTATATGTTAAACAAGGGAAATAATTTATTAGTTGAAATATTAATTTGGAATTTAATAGAACAAAGTATAATTTTAATATATTAAGCTGTATTTTTAATTATAAAAAGTGAAAATGAAAAAAGAAAAAAAAAAATTTACAAAATATGAAAGCATATCAATTTCAAAAAAAAAAAATAAAAAGGTTAAACTTCATCTTTTTTATCTTTCAGTAATTTTCTTTTTTTTTATTTTAGTAATTGGTTTGTACATTTATTTAATGCCAGGTAAAAGAAATAGACAAGTACATGATAATTCATTAGTATTAGGAAATTTATATTAACTATATGCTAGGTTTTTTTTTATTTTTTATTTATTATTTTTTTTTTTTTACTTTATTTTTATTCATTTTTGCTTGTACTAAAAGATGATGTACATATGTGTAGTATATATTTGCATTAATAAATTAAAATAAATATTTTTTGTATAATATAAATTTTTATTATTAAAAAAACGAAAATAATGTAATGTAAAATATCGTATAAACATTTATATTTTAGTTCACTTACATTTTTTCAAATTAAATTGCAGGCTTAAATGTAGAAAGTAAAAATAGATTAAAAATTTTAATTCCTAAAAGCTTTAAAGATTTAAAATATTTAAGCAATAAAGAGAAGGTAAAGATATTATATGATTCTTTAATTTTATATAAGAATGAGCATGGTTTTGTTTTATTAATATTGTTGTCATTATTTTATATTTTTTATCAATCATTTCCATTATTTTTATGGTGGATAACTGGAACAGCTAGTATTATAACCATATTAATTGGAGCTTTTTACAATTATTTATTTTCTATTTTTTATTGTTCTATTTTATCGACAATTTCACCTTTAATTGCTTATGTAATTTTTAAGTATTACGGGAAGACAGTTATAGAACATTTCTTTAAGAAATCCCTTATAAAGTTTAATGTACAAATCAAAAAAAGAGTAAAAAATAAATTCGATTTATTTTTTTATATAGCAATATTAAGATTAACTCCAATATTTCCAAATGCTTTAATTAACATACTTGGGGCATCTTTATCACTTCCTCTCCTTCCTTTTCTTTTAGCTACTTATTTTGGCCTTTTACCTAATACTGTGATATTAGGTATTTTAATAAAATAAATAAAAAAATGCATTTTTCATTTTATATTTTTTTTTCTCAGGATTACTATTGTTTAAGCACATAGTTGCTATTTATGATGTTATAATAATTATTATTATTATTTCTATCATTCTTTTTATGTATATTTTTATTTTTAGTTTCTGTAGGACAAGCTATAAATAGGTTGTCATCAGTAGATATGAAACAGCAATTTTATGTGCCATTAATATTTATAATATTGTTATTATTTTTTCAAAAATTAATAAGAAATAAATATAAAGAGATAAGTCTTTAACTTAAATAATTAATGAATTTAAAAAAAATCTTAAGAAATAATAAAATATTATTATTCTTAATAATTTAATAAAATGAAATACAGAGTTATATATTATTTTATAATTTAAAATTATACACTTTTTTTAATTTTTTTAATTGTACCCTTATATATTTTTTTATCATTTGTTCTTACAAGTTAAGCAATATTTTCATTCATTTATATTAATATATATCTTTTTTTGTCCTTTTTAGAATATATTATTGAATAATTAAATTATTTTGTTAATTTTTACATTTTTTTAAATATATCTTTTATTAGTGGTTTTATACATAAATTTTTTTTTGTTATTCGATAGAAAAATTTTTTTTCTACAATAAAATTTAATTATAATTTTAAAACTAAAAATAAAAAATAAAATTTTTACATGCTATATAAATTATTAATAAAACTTACAGAAAATTAAAAGGTAAATATTTTATGCTATTTTAAAGATTTAAGGATAGAATAATTTAAAATTATTTATTTTCTACATACCTAATTTTTTTTTCCGTATTCAACACAATATTGCTTTTTCATTAGGTATATTTAATTGTTTTCATTACAAATATACACTTTTTAATTTACTATTTTATTTTTCTTATATCCTTCAACATCCAGTTTTCTATTTTTATTCAGCTGACTTCTAGTAAACTAATTATATTTCAATAATAAATATTTATTTTTATAATCTTGAATTATTAACTAATCGAATTTCATTTAATAATTTTATAAGATTACCAATAAAAAAAAAAAAAAAAAAAAAAAAAAAAAACACTTTTCAGTATATTCAAAAAAAAAAAAAATATTAGCAAAAGGTAAAAATTACATTTCTTATGTTAAAATTTTTAGATAGATTTAATTTTTATGGACTTATTTTTTATATTTTAATAAATATATAATTTTAAAGTATAAATTATTATGTAATTTGAAAATAAATAAAATGTATTTAAAACTTATTAAATAAAAATTTCTTTAAAAGAAACATAATTGAGTCAAAAAAAAAAAAAAAAAAAAAGAAATAAAAATATAATGAAATATAACACAAAGGCTTTCCGAATCAAAGACTTTTTTGGTGTGAAATGAAATTTTAATATAAATCTGTGTATAACTTTTTTTTTTAAATTATTGTATTATTTGCTTAATAAATACCATTATTTTTTCATATATACTTCATATAGTTAAAATTTGTTTTTTTTATATTTTAATTGCAGTTAATTGAAATTATAAATTTAAATTATTTTTTTTTATTTGCTTATAAAACTTAATAATGTTTTTTTAAAAAAATATTTTTGTTTTTTGAAACAAAATATGCAAAATTTATTACTTCACTATTATACAATTTTATATAATGAAATTAAAAATTAAAATGTAATTAGTATATATGGGAATATTTGACAAATGAATAAAAGTATTTATTAAAATTTAAATTATTTTAAATTATAAAAAAAAAAAAAAAAAAAAAATTATCTCAAGTTAAAAAAAAAAAAAAAAAAAAAAAAAGATAAAATAAATAATAATGGAAGAAAATAAAATAATACAAAACGAAATAGTCAATGAAGGAGATAATGAAGTAAAAGTAATGAATGAAGAAGAGAATGAAAAGGAAAAAGTGAAATTGAAAGAAATAGAAACAGAAATTGAGGAAAAGGAAGAGAAAAAAAATATAGAAGAAGATATAAAAATACATGAACAAATGAAGGATAATGATCAAATAGAAGATGAAGAGGATGAAGAAAACGAGAGTGCAAAAGATATGTTATTAAAAAAAAGAAAGAAAAAAGACAAGTATAAATCATCGTACATAGATACTGAAGCTCAAGAAGATGAAGAAGATATAGAATATAGAGAAAGTCGAAAAATAAAAAAACATGGGCAAAAAAAAAGGAGATTAACAAAAAATAAATATATATCTACATTTTTAGATACTGAAGCTCAAGTGGGAGATGATGAAGAAGAAGAGGATTATGCCAGTTCCTATATTGATGAATTTGAAGAGGCAAAGAAATTAGAAAAGAAAAAAATGTATGAAACTCGTTTAAAAAGTGGAACTAATCATTTAGCTCAAGCGATAAATAAATTATCACAAAGATATGAAAATGAAAAGGAAATAAAAGAGGATACATTAACTGATGGAGAAACATTAACAGATGAAGAAATGTCAGGTGAAGAATATTTTGATGAAGGAGAATGTTTAAGTACTTTTGATAGTCCCAAAATGTGGTTAATAAAACTATTTAAGAATAATATAGAAAGAAATTTAGCAATTGGTATTTATTATAAGTATATGAAACAAAAAGATAATGATTATAATATTAAAGGAATATACGTTTCCGATAATTTAAAAGGTTATATATATATAGAAGCGGACAGTTTATATATGTTAAAAAAATTCTTATTAGGATTCAAATTTATTAATTTAAATGAAATATCAATTGTTCCTGTTCAAGAATTAACTTCTATATTTGCTATGTGTCATTCTAAGGTAATTATACCAAAAGTAAATGAATATGTAAGAATAAAAAGAGGAGTTTATATGAACGATATAGGTCAAATTTTTGAAGTGCATGAAAAAGGAATATATGCAATAGTCCGATTAATACCAAGAATATCGTATGATAAATATAATAATTTTAAAAAGGATAACTACAATAATATGTCTTCCGTAAATAGAGTGAGTTCAACATTAGATGAAAATAATAAAAATGATTCTTATTATTTGAATGATAAATTAGACATAAACAGAAATGCAATTTTGTCGAAATCTCATAATGAAAATATTATAAACGAAAAGAATGATATATTAGATGAAGCTTTACAATTTAGGAGAAAAAAAAAAAAAGAAAGACCTCTAAAAAAATTTTTTGATAGAGAAGAAATTGAACAAATAGGAGGTGTTATTGAACATGGTCCATATCCTAGAACTATCAAGTATCAAAATAATATATTTGAAGAAAATGGATATTTATTAAAGAAAATGAATATAAAATATTTAATTAGTGAGAATGCTAACATAACATTAACAGAAATAAGAGATTTTAATAAGAATAATACCAATGAAGAAGATATAAATTTACATCTTAGTAAATCTTTTATAAATAAAAATTCTTTACATTTATTTAAAAAAAATGAAAGAGTAAAAATATTGAAAGGAGAGTTATATAATTTAATAGGAACAATAACAAGTGTTAATGAAAATGTGCTAACAGTAAATCCGGATAATTTAGCAAAAGAATTTAAATTTTTACCTTCTGATGTTACAAAGTATTTTAACGAAGGAGATAATGTAACAGTAATAAATGGAATACATAAAGGAAAAAGTGGATTAATATCTTTATTAGATTATAAAGAAAATGTTGCACTTATATTTTCACCTTCATTAAACACAGAATTGAGATCATCTATACAAGATTTAGCTTTGTCTACTAACAATAGTGAAGGATTAGGTGGAGTAAATACACTAAATGGATTTTCAATAGGAGATTTAATTGAATTGAGTGATAGACAAATAGGAGTTTTAACCTATATAGATAAGAATAAGCATATTCGTGTATTAACGAATAATAATAAGATATTACATACTACTATAGGTGCCATAACATCTAAAAGGTCAGCTATAGGACAGGTATGTAAAGATGAGAATAACAATGTTATTCAAGCTAAAGATACTATACAAATAATTAGGGGAATTCATAAAAACAAAGTAGCTGTGGTTAATTATATATGGAAAAATAAAATTTTTGCAAAAATAAATAGAAAGATTGAGGATAATGGTTTTGTTGTTGTAGATTGTGAAAATTGTATTTTATCAGGCAATAAAAATGAGAAAAAAAAAGTAATAACACATAATAATTTATTTAGAAATAATAATTTTTTTAAAAAAAATAACTTCCAATCATTTATTGGAAAAACAGTCAAGATATTAACGGGAGTTTATAAGGGATTGTTGGGGGATGTTATTGATGCAGAAAAAGACGAGTTTACTTTACTTTTAAAAATAAAACCTAAAACTGTAAGGCAAAAGAGAATAGAATGTGCTATTGCTGATGCTTACAAAGATCAAAACATATTTGATGAAAAATTTAATGGAAATGAAAACATAATTGATTCTCAAAAAGGTCTAGAAAAAATGGAAAAAAACCAAAGGTCAGAAAAAAAAATGTATGATTCTTATTACAGTGAATATCAAAAAAGAAATTCAGATAAAAGAAGGGGTGATTTTAATGTAAAATATGAAGAAAAGTATTCAAGTTATAACAAATATAAAGAAAAAGATATTAATTATGATAATGAAAAAAAAAAAAAAAACTATGAAACTAATAAAAATAAAAATAATCAGAATTATGTAGAAGATTGGAATTATGAAAATGATAAACATAATGTAAACTCAACTATATCTAATAAAAATGAAAACACATATATTAAGGAAGATAATCATACATCATATAATAAAAATTATGATAATAATTATAATAAACATAGTGGCAATTCGAAGAAATTTTATAAAAGGAATGAGGAAGATCGTTATAAAAAAAATAAAAATGAAGAAAGTAAAAATTATAATAAAAAAAAAGATCATATGAGTAAAGAATATAATTTAAAATATGAAGAAGATAAGAATTATGTTTGTAATTTTGATGAGGAAATTAAAAAAGAAATTAAAAAGGATTTAAAACAAGAAGATGAAAAAAAAAAGCAAAAAAATGCACAAGATATCGAGAAAAAAGAAGACACTAGCAAACAACATAGCATAATAGATGATAATGATAATAATCAAAAAGATCCTATATGGTTAATTGAAGGAGTGATGGTAAAGGTTATTACACCAGGACAATTTTTTAATGAAATTGGAAGAATTATGAGTATAACAAAAAAGAACTCTTATGTTATTTTAAAAATTCAAACAGAAAAAACATCTTTTAGTATAGTTTCAGATGCAGTTGTTCCTTTAAAGCCAGAGAAAAAAAATGATCAAGTCATAATTCTGGATAACGGAAAAACAATAGAAGGGTTAGTAATAGATATTCATAATAAGGAAGTTCAGGTTAATACAATACATGGAAATATAACATCTCATCTAGAAAATATGTTTTTGTATAAGAAATATTTTTCATAATTTCGCTTAAATTATCCATATAGGATTAGACAAATAAATATAAAATTAAAGTTTCATACATTTACAGAATATTGAAATTGTTTTTAAGAATAAGTAATTTATAATTGCATTAATAAAATTATTTGCACAAATAAGTGAACAAAAATTATTATCAAAAAAGTTTTACTAAACTAAAAATGAAATTAGTTTTTATGTGAAAATATATATATATATATATACATTTATTAACCGCATTTCTTAAATAGATAAAAATATATCTCTAAAAATTCTTATTTCTATTTATTTTTTATGTCATATAACCATGAATGTTCATTTGAATATATATAACTGTAAAAGGAAATGTTAAAACTTCTAAACTTTTATAAAATATTTGAAAAAATGAAATAATAAAATTTTAAAATATATAAATGTTAAAAAAATTAAAATTTTTAATGTGAAGAGGATACAAATGATTATCATATTAGTGAAAGTGATATTATAAAAATGGTTAATATTAAGTTGTTTAAAATGTAAAATTATTACAATAACATATGATATATTAAAAGCTTCGAAAATTATTTAAGTACTATTTATTACATTATAAAAAAAAAAAAAAAAAAAAAAAGAAAAAGGAAGGAAAAGAAAATTCAATATAAAAAATAAAAATTATTTAAAAAAATATGTTTTAAATGTATTACATTTTGTACATACATTATTTTTACATATAATTTACAGTAGATATTATACTATATATTACTCAAATGTATTTCGTTTTTGTTTTTTTTATTAATAATAAATTTATTAAAATAATTATTCAATTTTTTTTTTTTTTTTACATAGTTACAAAAATTTTTGTTTTAATAATTTTGCAACTCATCCGTCTAGAATATTTACATGTATTAATATTCTTTTATGTAGTAATTTACTTCAATTTATTTTTTAAAAAATTCAATATTTTTTGAACAATATGATTTGGTGTGATACCAAAATGCTCCCATATTTTGTTTTTGGGTGCTGAATATCCAAATTGATTAATACCTATGTAAACATTAAAATATGTATCAAATCCGTAAGTAGAAGCAGGTTCAATGTAAAATCTTACTACATCAGGATTAAGATGCATCATAATAGAATTTTGATATTCTTCTGTTTGCTTTTTAAATAATGTCCATGATGGGAAGCTAACAATTCGAACATTTAAATTGTGTTCATTTTTTAAAATATTTTTGGCATCAAAGCATAAGTGTAGTTCAGATCCACATCCACTTAAAATAACTTTCTGCCCCTTTGAATCATCAAAATCTTCCAAAATATATGCTCCTTTTAAAACATTTTCTACTGATGTGTTTCTTAAATGTGGAACCTTATTTCTACATAATGCAATAACTGTTGGTGTATGCGGATTTGTAAAATGGCACAAATAAGCTCCTGATACTTCATTTCCATCTGCTGGTCTAATTATATTTAAATTTGGTGTTGATCTGAGTAATGATAATACTTCAATTGGTTGATGTGTTGGACCATCTTCCCCTAATTCAATGGAATCGTGTGTAGCTATGCATAAAATATGATGATTAGATAAAGCTGCTAACCTTAAAGCACCAAACGCATATGTATAAAAGTTGAGAAAAGTACCACAGAATGGCTGAAAACCTCCATAGGAATAAATTCCATTTGTTATAGCAACCATTCCATGTTCCCTTACTCCATATCTTATATATTTATTTCCGTGAAAATTTCTGGTAATATCTTTTTCTTCTTTTAATGCTGTACAATTAGATTCTGTTAAATCAGCACTTCCTCCTATTAATTCAGGTAATATTTTATTTAAACAATTTAAAACGACACCTGATAAATTTCTTGTTGCACATGGGGCATCAGTAGGTGTATACCTTGGCAATACATCTTTCCAATTATAAGGCAAATCATTTTGGAATCTTCTCAAAATTTCTTGTCCTACTTCAGGAAATTGTAAAGTAAAATCTTCGAACATTTTTCTCCATTTCATATAATGTTCTTTTTTCTTTTCTATTACATTTTTGTAAAAATTCTTTACTTCATCAGTAATATGAAATTTTTTTTCAGGATCTAAACCAAAAAAATTTTTCGAGGTTTTTAAATCTTCTTCCTTTAATGCTAAACCATGAGATTTGCAAGTTCCTTGAACTTTAGTTCCGAAACCACAAGTTGTTTTGACTATTATTAGTGAGGGTTGTTTTAAATTTTTTTTGGATTCTTCAATTTCAGTCAATATTTTTTTAAAATCTGTATTTCCATCTTCCACTCTTCGAACTTCCCAATTTAAGGCTTCAAATTTCTTTTCAATATCTTCTGTAAAGGACAAACTTGTTTCACCATCAATGGTAATTTTATTATCATCATATAAAAGAATTAATCTTCCTAATCCTAAATGACCAGCTAAAGATGCGGCTTCACAAAATACTCCTTCTTGCATACATCCATCTCCACATATACAATAAATATAATTATCAAAAATTTTATGTTCCTTTGTATTATATTTGTCTGCTAAATTATGAGCAGCAATTGCCATCCCAACTGCATTAGAAGCTCCTTGACCTAATGGTCCTGTAGTCACTTCTACACCTTTGGTAATATGATTCTCTGGATGACCAGGAGTTAAACTTCCTAATTGTCGAAAATTTTTTAAGTCTTCTATAGTTAAACCTTGTTCAGTTAAATATAACATTGTGTATAGCAATGCGCTAGCGTGACCATTAGATAAAACAAATCTATCTCTATTTATCCATTTTGTATCTTCATTATAATAATTCATAACATAAGCCCATAAAACATGAGCTATTGGCGCACAGCCGATTGGGGCTCCTTGATGTCCACTATTCGCTTGTAATGGCATTTCAGCCGATAGCATACGAATTTCATTGATACATTTTATATCTATATCTTTGTCCATATTGATTAAACTATAATTTTTTTATTATCTTAATAAATATATAAGATTTGATGTAAACAAAAAATATATTTTAATTTTTTTAGGAGAAATAATTATAACTGAAAAATAATAATTTATGAAAAAAATCCTAATTTAAATAAAATGAAATAATAAATATACTAATATTAAGGTACAAATATATATTAAGCAAATGCTTCAACAGTTTTAAAAAAAAAATGCAAATAATCATATATGTTTTTTGCTTTATATCTTAAATCTTCATATGTATTACTCTGCAATTCTCTAAAAAAAAAAATTTTATATATTAAAATATATTATTTATGTTTTTTTTTTTTTTTTTTTTTATTATAGGTTGTAATTGTTTGCTATGTATAATAGAATTATTTATATATAGTATTTTTACACATTTATTAAAAAAAAAAAAAAAAAAAAGTTATAAAATTTTCATAATAATTTATACATTTTTTTTTTATTTTTTTGAAATATATAAAAAAGAGAAAAAGTGTATATGCCTAGTAAAACTGGAAAAAATAATAATATAAAAAAATTAATATACAAAATATTAAAAGATAATGTAATGAATTAATTAAAACATGGTTTTTATAAGTACATACTATATATAATAAATGTATATATACATTAATTAAATATTATTACATTTTTATTTTGTTTCCGTATATATTTGCATGTTTAAACATTTGATTTTGCTTTAGTGATTCATCACTAGATAAACACTTATATAAAATATTACTGTATTTTTCTGTTGAACAATAGATTTCTATTATACTGGATTGAAAAAAGAATAAGAAAAAATATATATATATATATATATATAATATATATATTCATATAATTTTTTTAAATAACATTACTGAGTAACTATATTATATTCTCCCATTGTGGAAGTTCTCTGAAATGCTGACTCCTTTAATAAAACTTTGTTTTATGGATGCTCAATAAATCATGAAGTGTTCAATTTAATTTATTTTTTTTTTTTCTTTTTGTATACATATATATATATATTGTATGGTTTTACATATATTTAGTTTTAAATAAAAATAAAAATATTTAATTTAAAATAAAAATAGCTTCAAAAAAAAAAAATAAATTTTGTATGATACTTCTAATGCTCATGCGTATATATATATATATATATATATATACATATAATGAGGCTCAATGATTACCTATTTTTTAATAGCCGAAATTTAGTTAATCTTTTAATAATTTTTTCCTTTAATACTATCTTTTATATAGTAAAAAAAAGATATATATATTCTGAATAAGTTCTAATCTATAATAAATATTTCTTCTTTTTTTTTTTTTCTTGAAGCATTTAAATTTAGCAACGCACATTTATGATGCATTGCTTGTATAAAATTTTGTTAAATATGTGTAAAATGTTTATATATTTTTTGTAATGTAAATATTCAAAATGATTAAAATAAGTTTTATATTTTTTCAAAACAAAAAGATAAACATTAAATATCATAAGCAAGAAATGTTTTAGTTTTAACAATTAAGCATTAACAAGAAAAAAAAAACATATAAGCAAATTAAAAAAGTATAAATTTTTTTACAACAATATAAGTCCAAATATTAATATAAAAAAAAAAAAAAATTAATAAAATACATAAAAAAAATTATGACAGATTACTAAGATGTTTTACGTTCATACTCTTCATTAAAAAGATATATAAATCTTCATTCATTTAAAAACTTCAAAAAATTATTAATAAATATGCCAAGTTAATTTTAATAATAGATTAAAATTGGTATAAAAGAAATGTTATTCAGTGAAAATATTAAAATAAAAATAAAAAAATTAAGCTCTGTTTTTTTTCTTCATCATTAACATAAATTCGTTGAAATCGATCTACAAAAAAAAAAAAAAAAAAAAAAAAAAAAAAAAAAAAAAAAGAAAGAAACAAAACAAATTTAATATTGAATACCTTTGAAAAAATTTATAAAATGGAAAAAGTACTTATATATAACAAATGTGATAATAACATATATATATATATATATATATATATATATATATATATATATATATATATATATATATATGTATGTGTTTTTTTTTTTTCTTACTTCTCCATCTCCATTTAAATCAATTTCTTGTAGTAAGGAATCAATTGCTTTATCTCCTAATGAATTTTTAACATCTGCTTTTCCAAAGATTTTCTTTAATTCCTCAATACTTATTTTTCCATTTCCATCAATATCAAACACTTTAAAAGGAATTAAACAAATTTCTTCTTTTAAATAGGTTCTTTTATCTATTGTAGCTGCCAGAAAGTCTTAAAGCAAAAATAAAAAAAAAAAAAAATGAAAGAAAAATATTATACATAAAAAATATTTCATTAAAAACTAACAAATATATAATAAAAAATGTAAAATTATATAATAAAACAATATAATAAAGAGAAAAAGTAAATAATAGTAAAAATCTATATTTATGAAAAAAATAAAAATTTGAGTTCTGATTATTTATCTTTTACCTGTGTAATGAATTTGTCCTGATCCATTAGAATCAATATCTTTTAGTATTTGATGAATATCAGGAGGTATTTTCTGATATCCAATTTTTTTCAATCCATCTAGAATTTCTTGAGATGATAAGGTACCACTATTATCGACATCAAGAGCAATAAAAATATTTCTTAAATTATTAATTTCTACATCACATAAATGTTGAGCAATAATAGTTAAAGCTGCTTTTTTCAATTGATTTTCTTTTTTAAAATTTTTTAGATTATTTAACAAACTAGATGATAATGCAATATTTTTTTTACTTTTTGTCATTTGAGTTATCCATGGATGATTTAAAGCTTCTTCAATAGTGCACCTTTCATCAGGATTATATTTTAATAAATTTGTTATTAAATCTTTTGCATCTAAAGATATATTACCCCAATCATTTTCATAAAAACAAAATTCACCTTGCTTAACTTTTTTTAAAACTTCATTATCTGTATCTCCGTAAAAAGGGGGATACCCACATAATAATGTGTACATTATAATACCACTTGACCATATATCACATTTTTTATCATATTTTCCTTCTAATACTTGTGGTGCAACATAATAAGGAGTTCCTGCTTTTGTTGTTGTGAATTCTCCTTCATATAATTTTTTACTTAAACCAAAGTCAATAATTTTTAATAAACTATCTTTACTTTCACTTTGAAATAAGAAATTTTCTGGCTTTATATCACGATGAACTATATTTAGAGAATGCAAATAAAATATAGCAGAAAAAATTTGTTTCATTATTGTAGCTGCATTTTTTTCTGTAAAAGAGCCTTGTTCAATTATGCTATCGAACAATTCTTTTCCTGAGCATAATTCCATTACTAAAAATATAAAATTATCATCCTCAAACGTTTCATATAATTTTACTATATTAGGGTGATCTAATTTTTTCATTATTTCAATTTCTTGAAAAAATCTATTTATATTTTTTAATCTATCTTTTTTCTCCCCTTTAATTGCGTAATATTGTCTAGTTGTTTTGTTTATCCCTTTATAAACACATCCATATGTTCCTTGTCCTAATTTTTTATCAATTACATATTTATCTTCTAATTTTCCTGCATGAGATAATATAAAATTTTCTCTTTCAAATGTTGAACCTTCTCTTGTACTATTATTTAAATTATTAGTATTTTCCTCAACTAATATTTCATTTTTTTCCTTAGATTCCTTTTTTATAAAATTATATTTTTTTCTTAATTTATTTATCAATATTAAATTTCCCATAATACTCTTTTTTTTTTTTTTTTTTTTTTTTTTTTTTAAATAAATAAATCTTTAAATTTATTATTTTTATTTTAATTTAATAATTTTTTGAGTCGTCTTTTACTGAATGAACTCATTTGTGCCTTTCCGTTTTTTTTTTTTCTTTTAATAAAAGTCTTTTATTATAAAAAAAAAGTTCGAATGATAAATTGTTCATGTTGTTTATTTGGAATAAAACTTTAAATTACCAAAAAATTAATTATATATGTATTTCAATAAAAAGATAAGATATATTTTACCTTTTTTTTAATTATGTAAAAAAGTAAAATGTAATTTTATTGTACGCATTATAGGGCTAAAAAAAAAAAAAGAAAAAAAATATTAAAAATGTGACATAATATTAAAAAAATAATTTTTATTATATTCCTGAAAAATTTTTAGAATATAAAAAAAAATTAACTATAGTGGATGAAAAAAAATTTATATTAAAAAACAAAAAAAATACTTTATTATGTAAAAAATAAAAAAAAAAAATTTAGTTCTTACATATATTATTATAAAAAAATGCTAAAAAATTTTGCACACAAAAAGGAAAAAAGGTAAATATAAAAAATTTATAGTTTTTATTCAAAAAATTATGTAAAGATAAATAAAAGAAAAATTATTTAATGATTAAATGCTATATTACTTTTTAATGAAGTTAGATACTTATGAAAATAAGATAAACTATGGAATATATATTTAATTTTCATATATTTTTATACATTATTAGAAAACTATTTTTAAAGTAATATTGTTTCCGAATAAAGTAAAAAAACTCACAAGATTGTAATTTTTATTATAAATAATTAAAATAAAAAATTTCACATATCAAAATATTTTATTTAAAATTAATTTTATTTTTTTGTTAATACTAATGTTTTATTCAACAAACATAACTTATTTCAATACAAAAAAAAGAAAAAATTATTATTTTTTTTATCTTTTCATTTTTTATAAAAAACTGCTAATAGTAATATTAGTTTTAAAATTACAATTGTGCTAACTTTTTTGTGGTATCTTCATTTGTTTCTAATACAGTAAACTTTTTTTTACGACGTTAAATCATTATTAAAAAAAAAAATAGTAATAAAATGTACGTAAATATGAATAAAACTTAAAATGATAACAAAGAGTACAAATTAAAATTACTTTCTTTTGAAATCTTCATTGGATATACTAAAAAGTAAAAGTATTTAAAGATAAATTAAGCGCAACAGAAAATATACATTAAACAGAAAGTACATTAAAATAAAATTTAAAATCTTCTTAAAATTAGAAAGTAAAAATTATTTTAAATACAAAATATTGAAATGTTTTTGTAGCAACATTATTAAATGTCTTAAGAAAAAATGGTGTAAAGAAATATAAATTTCTTACAATATATATATAAAGAAAAAAAAAAAAAAAGAAACTATGTAAATACAAAAATTATATAATGATAATAAATAAAAAATAATACATGAATAAGAGGTAATTTATTTTTCATTTAACTCAATAAGTATATAATTGTTAAATTTTACGAATAAATTCTTTTTTCATTTGCGTAATTCTTAAAATAAAACTAATGAAAGTAGGCTTATAATACGGTAAAAATAGTAATTTCTGTTATAAAAAGTTTATTTTTAAAAGGTATAAAATAATGATTTATTTGTAAATTATTCTGTATTATTTTTTTCGGAAATATGTTATATAATAAAAGAATATGTAAATATATTTCAACGCTTTTTCTATGTATATGAGATAAAAGAATATATAAAATTCATTTCTTTTTACTGTTCTTTGATAATTTAGCAAAAAAAAAAATAAAAAAAAAGGAAAAAGAAAAAACAGAAAATTCGTGAAGACAATAAACGGCTTTTCAACTTTAAAAAGTTCATTAAAAAAGGAGAAAAAACTTAAATTCAAAATTTTATAAAGATAAAAATGCAGGAAAACACAATTATTCAATACATTTTAATAAATAAGGAAATTTTAGATAAAAAATGGCCATTAGGATCTATAATAGCTCAAGCTTGCCATGCATGGTAAAATATTTAAAAATTTTTATTCATTATTATGTAAATAGTTCAAATATTGTTTTTTGTTATAAGTTTCATGTTTTTATTATTCTCTTTTTATATGTACCATTAAAAAAAATGTAATATAAAAGTCCATAATATATATATATTTGTTTTTATAGTGTAGCAGTAATAGCAGAAAACATTGATGACAATATAGTAAAAGAGTATTTATCACCGGAAAATATAAATAATATGCATAAAGTTATATTGAAAGTTGAAAATACTGAAGAACTTAAAAATTTATCAAGTATCTTAGATAAAGAATCCTTCAAATACAAAATATGGACTGAGTATCCAGAAAATATTTTGACTGCTTTGGCTTTAAAGCCGTATTATAAAAATACAGTAAGAGATTATTTCAAAAAATATCAGCTTTTAAAAAAATTATAAAAGATGCATTTATATTTATGCTCTGTTTTTATTTTTTATTTTTTATTTTTATAAAATATAATTTGAGAAATCATATATATCATGAAACATTTCTTAAAATGTAACTTTTATACATTTTTTTTTTTATCAAATTAAATTATTTCATGTGTACATATATTTTAAAAAATTGATATACGAATAAAAAACTTTTTTAAATAATCAAATTTTTAATTCATGTTTTTATTAATGGCTTCTAGTGAAGCCTTAAAAAAATTTATGTCTAATGTGAAACACTAAATAAATATGTATAAAACGAATGCTAATAAAAAATAAAGGGAACATATACAATATATTTATCAATTAAAATATATCAATAATTAAACTTTTATTAGTTCATATTACTGAATATTTTAATTAATTTATGATCTTTCCCCACGAATACGTCTAGCTAATTGAATATCTTTTGGCATAATGGTAACTCTCTTAGCATGGATAGCACATAAATTGGTATCTTCAAAAAGCCCAACTAAATATGCTTCTGCAGCTTCTTGGAGTGCCATAACTGCTGATGATTGAAATCTTAAATCAGTTTTATAATCTTGAGCAATTTCTCTCACTAGTCTTTGAAATGGTAATTTTCTAATTAATAAATCAGTTGATTTTTGATATCTTCTAATTTCTCTTAATGCTACAGTTCCTGGTCTATATCTGTGTGGCTTTTTAATACCAGCAGAAATAGGAGCTGATTTTCTTGCGGCTTTTGATGCTAATTGCTTTCTTGGGGCCTTACCAGCGGTTGATTTTCTTGCTGTTTGTTTAGTTCGTGCCATTTTTACTTATAATTTTAAGGTGTATAATATAGTGTGTATTTTATTAAATTAAAAAAAAAAAAAAAAAAAATTTTTATATATATACGACTAAGTTATGTAAATGAATAATAAAAAAAAAAAATGTTTCTTGCAATAGTGATAATGTATATGTTTAACTAATTTTCAATAAGAATAATTTGAAAAATATTTTGTTTTTTAAATAAATTTTAGATATAAAATATTAATTTAAACATGTATGTGCTTTTTTTTTTTTTTTTATATGTTTCAAATTCTCATTAAAATATTTTTAATAAATAAATTTTTTTTTTTTTTTTTTTTTTCTTAACTATAATGCAAAAAGCTACGAGTTTGCATAAAAAAAAAATTATGATCATGCATAAAAAAAAAAAAAATATACAAATAAAATAAAAATTATCAATTTTAATTGCAAAAATAACTTATGTGCATATAAAAAAAAAAAAAATATATATTTTTTTATGACTTACTATTAATTAATTAATGCACTTCTTTGTATCTTTTGCATTTTTTTCACCATTTGTATCTTTATTTAATTGTAATTATATATATATTTTGAATTATTTTCTTAAATAAATTAAGTGAAATGCTCTTACCATATATATATGAACGATAAAAAAAAAAAATAAAAATCGAATTTATTAAAAGTATCTTTTAATTATATATATATATATAATAAATAATTTTTTAAACACAAATAGTGCAATATATTTGCACATAGATGTGTTTATTATTATTTAAAATAAAAAAAAAATATTTGTATATTGTATATATAAATAATACATGTGTATTTATAAATTTAAACATATATATATATAAATATTAAAAAAATTTTAAATGTAATTTTATGTTAATACATAAATGTAAAAAGGTAAAAAATGAAGAAATATCTAAATATTATTAAAGTATGAAGAATTAAATTCTCTATTATCATTTTTTGTACAATGATCAAAAATGATAAATATTAAATTATATGCATTTATTATTATGATATATTTTTCACTCTCCTTTATTTAGCATAGTTTGGTATACATTTGATGAAATAGTACATCAAAAAATTGCACTATATTAATTTTTATTTTTCAAGAGACGTGAATAGTATTTCATGCAAATTATTTTATTTTTTTTTTAAACTAGACATATTAATAGGGTTAATTTTTAAAGTGTTTTTAAAATATATAATTTATAAAAAAACATAAAAATGAACTACTAATGGATATTAAAATAAAGTAAATATTTTATTTTAAAATTTTATAAAAGAGGTAAAAAAGAATTAAAGAATAAATTAAGAAATTTTATATGTATTCAAAAATAATTAATTTTATCTTCATTTGCTTTTTTTTAAAAAGAATTTTTATGTTGAGCACGAAAAAAGAGATCATTAAAAAATCATCTTATATGGTAAAAATTTAGAAAAAAATAAAAAAACATTAAAATTTTTTTAGTAAGAAAAAAATTGATCAGTTTATGTTATTTTGTTTTTGATTTATTCATATATAAAGTTGAACACCTTAGCTTGAAGAAAGGTTAGAAAATATGGCATTTAACAAATAAAAAAAATGATTTTTAATTTTCATTTTATTGTCTATAAGTTTAAATCATTTTATCCTTTCACAATTTTAGTAAAAATAATATATGTCGCTGTAAATAAAATAGAAATAAAAAATTTATGGCGTAAATATATATATTTTAAAAAAATATGTATTTTAATGTATTTATTAAAAAAAAAAAAAAATTATGTACCATATATTGTAAACTTACAATATACAATTATATGAAAATTTAACGTCTTTATTTTAAAATTTTTTTTGAAAAATAAATTATTCTTATTATATTTTTCCTTTTTAACTGTATATTTGAATCGGAATAACATTTGACACATATTTAGTTAAAAAATAAGTCATCTATTAAAATTATAAGATTTAATCCCGTTTCCCTTAATAGTTTTTATTTTTTTTCATTAAAATAAGTAAAAAATTAATTTAAGAAATTGTTAATAATGGTATTTAAATGTTCCTAAAATTAGGAAGAATTAAAAGAAGTGAACTATTTAGAAGTTTGTTATTCTTATAATTTGGTTTTGATGTAAAGTTCATGAATATTTTAATTTTAGGATATTGTAATTGCATTTTAGGGGTCCAACTATGTTTTTAATATGATAAAAAAAAAAAATTAAACAAGTATATTTTTAATACCAAATCCATATAAAGTCATAAATATAAAATGATTGTTATAATTCATTTACTTTGTCAGTAATTCTTTTTTATTTAATTTTAAGCTTTACATAACATATAAAAGGCTTAGCATCTATAATACTTATAAGTATAAAGATGAAATATGAATCTTCATTTGAAATTAGTTGGCTCAAAGAATTTCATTGTAACATATGGAATAGTAGAAAATTGAAAAGGATTAATTTTTAATAAATGTAAACTATATTCATTTTTTAGTTGTAGTTTAAAAAATAAGCATGTTTCATAAGATATTAATGATATATATGAAAAATAGGTATTATGTTCACTCAAATTGGAAGTATTATATAGTGTTTTTAATTTATATTCTTTGATTTATGCATATTTCAAAATTTTTGTATTTATAAAACCTATAATTTAATATATGAACTAACAATATATATGTAGTATTCTTAAATTCATGAAAATTAAAAATAAGGATAAATTTACATATTTAAGAAACGTTTAATAAAAAGAAAAAAAACAAAAATATCTTAAAAAGAAAAAAACTTAATTTTATAAAAATAAATAATATATTTTTAGTATACATTTCTTCATAAAAAAAAAAAAAAAGATAAGAAAAAAAATTAGTTATATATAAAAGCCAATTTATATAAAAAAAAAAAAAAAAAAATTACTACAAATTTAAGCTAAATATATATTCTTCTTATAACTAAATGTTAAAAATGTTGTAAAGGCAAATATATATATTTTTTAATTAAATAGATATCATTATAAATGAACAAAAAAAAAATAAAATTTTTTAAAAAATTTGGTATAATGACTACCAAATAAACTGAAAGTTTTGCTATATATATAAGTTTTTATATTAATTTTTTATAATATTTCTTCGTTTTCTTTTCTCATTATACAAAAAGTAGAAAAAAAGTCATCCAAAAAAGAAATAAAGCTCAAATTTTATAAGATGCATAGCTTATCAAATGATTTTAGTCTTGCAAATATAAAAAGTGAAAGTTCTAAAAATGAATTATATTTATCATCTATAACTTGTGAAGTAAAAAGAAAAAAAATTATAACATTGATGATTAAAGATTTGTTAAAATCTAAAAGTGGATAAAAATAAATATTTTCTACTACATACATATTATTACACTATTCATTTTATAAATATAAAAAAAAAATTTTTTTTTTGATATATATACATTTTTTTTTTTTATTTTGCTAATGCAGAATAAATTACAAGAAGATATATCTTATACAAATATTAAGAGTAAATAGTTTTGTAAAATATAAAATATTAACTTTTTTGAAAACATTTTTTTTTTTTTTTTTAAATTCAATAAAATTTTTTTTAATTCATTTCATTTGAATTTTATACGAAAAATCGTAAATTATTCTCAATGATTATATAATTTAAAAAATTATTTAAAGCAATTTTTAAAATATAGTAATATTTTTTTTTTTTTTTTTTAGAGATAAATATATGCTTATATAATTACATATTAGTATTATTTGTGCATATTTATTTATTTTTTTTGTTTAGATAATTCAAATTATATGATAAATAATAGAGTGTATTATAGTAATTTAAAACTTGTAGTAAATAAGGGAGAAGAAAAGGAAGAAATAGAAAATGCGAATAATGTAATTTATGTGGGTAATATAGATAAATATATAGAAGATAATGATATTTTAGGAATATTGCAAATATTTGGTGATGTGTATAAGTGGCACAGACAACGTAATCCTTCAACAAACGAATTAATGCCATTTGGTTTTTGTGAATATAATGATATATATGGTGTTTACTTATGTATACAAATTTTAGATAATATAAAATTAGCTAATAAGAATTTAAAAGTAAATTGCAATGATAATTTAAAAAAAAAATTCGAAGGAATTGTTGACATACTATATGAAAAAAAACAAAAAACAATAGAAAAAGAAAACGAGCTATTAAATGATAAAGATATGAAAAATCAAATATTAAATGATATAAAAAATGATATTAATAGTAAAAAAAATGATGTTTTAGCATATATTCAAAACATTAATAATGAATACGAAGAAAAAAAAAGAAAAGATGAAGTAGCACAAAATAATACAGGAGAAGATGAAAAAAATTTAAGTAAAGAAGAAAAAGATAAAAGAGAAAAAATACAAGAAGAAGAAAATTTGAATATGAACAATATTAAATTAAACCATGAACAAGATAACATAAATTATATAAATAGTATTTCACCTTTGAATAATGATGAATTGAATATAAATGAGAAAAAAAAAATAAGTAAAATGGAAAATGATGAAAATTGCGATATTTTAGGAATTGAAAAAAAAAATGGCTTATTAACAGATAATTCAAATAATCAACAATTGAATAATAAAAATATGTTTAAAAGTAATTCTTCTCAGCATAATAATGAAGGATTATTAAAAGAAAAAGAGGAAGTTAAATATTTAAGTAAGGATTATAAAGTGCATTGGAGGGAAAGAGAAAGAATTCAAAAAATAGAAAATAAAGAAAAAGACTTAGAAAAAGATTTTTATAAAAGAGAAAAGGAATGGTTGGAGTTAGAAGAACAAATTAAAAAAGATACATACAAGGAATGGAATAAATTAATGTTAATAAAAAAAAAAGATATTGCTAGACTTATAGAATTAGATTTAAAAGGGGAATATGAAAATTCAAATATATCAAATTCCAAAAAAAGAGAGATAAGAAATTCAAAAAGAGAAAAAGAAAAAGAATTAGATGAATTGGATAGACTAAATGAATTAAAAGAAATAGAAGAAATGAAAGAAAAATTAAAAAATAAAGAAAAACTTATTAATGATAATATTCAAAATGATATAGAGCAAAAAGATGTAATAAATAAAGAACCAGAAATAGTAGAGGAGTGTAAAAAGGAAGAAAATAACAGTACAAAAGAGAATTTAAATGTTGAAGAACCAAAAGATAGAGATGAAAAAATACCTCTTGAAAATAATCAAAATAGAAATAATACAATAGCAGAACATTCAAAGAACAACATTGCATTTGATTTTTCTTGTGTTTCTGACAAAAATAATGAAATAAAATGTGAAAAAGAAAATGTTGAACATGATGAAGATCTAAAAAAGAAAGACAAAATTTTTGAAAATAAAGAAGATTATTTAATGAATGAATATAATGAGAACGAAAACATAAAGAAGGAAAAAGAAAATAATTTCAACAATATGAATCATAATAATAACATAGGCATTGACACATATTACACTAAAAATTACGTAGAAAATCAAAATAATGAAAATATTTTAACTTATCAAGAAAACAATTTTGATATAACTTATAAATCCGAAAATAAAGAAAGTGAGGTTTTAAATAAAACGTTTAATGAAAATGATACAAATGAAAATAATATGAATGAAAAGAAGGCAAATGAAATTAGTGTGAATGAAAATAGCATAAATGAAAACAATACTAATAAAAGAAAAATGATATGTTCTGAACATATAAATATAAAAGTAAATGATAAAAAAAAAAAGACAGATTCTGAAAATTTAAATAAGATAAATAATCCTGTATTAATGAATGTGTTTAATACTAACGACGAAGATGAACTTTTTACCAAAAAGCATCAACCGTTATCTAAATTGGATAAGCATTTAGATAAAAAAAATCAAGAAGAAGAAAAAATTAAGGCAATAGAGATAATTGAAAATTCAAAAAAAATATTAGAAAAAGTACCTTCAACAGAAGAAGAAATTTTTAATTTTCATATTGAATGGAACGTATTAAATCTAAAAGATAATATAGGTGTAAAATTAAAACCATGGATATATAAAAAAATAACTGAATATATAGGAAAAGATGAAAAGGAAATTATTGAAGAAATTAGCAATTATTTTGTTCAACAGATTTTAAAAGAAACATCACCAAAAGATATGCTAGTTGAAGCAGAAAAATTTTTAGATTCTGACGGAAAGAAATTTATTTTAAATATGTATAGGCTTATTATATTTGAACAACTTAAAATAAAAAATAGCTTATAAAGATAAAAATAATTTTAAATAAATACATATATTTATATTTTAATTTAAATATTCTTTACGTAAAAAACATATATTATTTGCTTATAAAAATGACTGTTTTTTATGTTTATCATGATCGTGCATATTTTTTTTATTTATATCATATTGTAATGACATTGCTTTTCATATATATATAATATTTCACAATTTTTTTTCATTTTTTAATTTCTTTTTTTATGTTTTCTTTTTATTATAAATATATATATATATATATATATATTTGCATTTAATCGAAAAGTCATATCATATTAAGACTTTCATTATTTTCTAATTAAAATGTATTCCTTTTGTATTTAAAACAAACTATTTTCGAAAAATTAGATTTTCATCATTATAAATTTTTTTATTATTTCAATTAAAAATTAAAAAATTACTTTTTTTCTTTGATTATATATTTATAGCAAAATCTCACTTCTATAATTTTTTCTCTTGGATTTTTTTTAAATAATGTATACAAATTTATATTTCATAAAATTATTTTTCATTTTAAAAAAATGAATTTAACAATATAAAGAATGGAAAAGAAATAAATAAAAAGATGGAAAAAAAAAAAAAAAAAAAAAATAAATAAAATCATTTTTTAAAATAAAACTTCATACATGTAGCTGAAAATGATTTAAACTTATGTATGCATAAAATTGCAGATCTTATTGTATATATTAATAAGAACAAAGAAATTTAATTATAAATAATAAATTATATATACATATATAAATTTTTTGTTTACTTAATATTTTTATATATTTAAATTTATTATATATTTTACTTTGTTTAATTTTAAGCATAGCCTTTTTTTTTTTAAATTATATATATATATATATATATATATATATATATATATATATATATATATATATATATATTTATAATTTTTAATTATCAGAGAAATATAGAATTAAAAGCATCTTAGAAAAAATGTTAATAAAATGAATACTAAAAATGTTACAAGAGAAGAGAAAAAGAAAGAAATGGAATTAAATGAGGCAAGAAAAGCTGGTAAAATATGATTAAATGAAGAAAAAATATATTTTCATAAATATTCATTTTTATTTTTATTTTAAAATGTTTATAATAGGAAAAGTGGAAGCTTTAAAAGATGAAGAAGGAAATGAAATAAATCCTCATATGCCTCAATACATTATTAAAGCTCCTTGGTATTTGAATCAAACCAAACCAGGTTAAAAGAAAAGTATAATTGAAAAAAAAGAATAAATAAAGAATATTAGAATATATTTAACATTTTAGATAAATATATATATATTTGTTTTGCGTATATATATTTTTATTTTAAATGTAATATTTATATTAGAGAAAAATTATTTTAAATGTAATATTTATATTAGAGAAAAATTATTTTAACTTATAATGTAAATTTTAATGTTTATAAATTTTTATAGGGTTAAAACATCAAAGGTATAAAGGGACAGATAAAGTTAAAATAGAAGAAGAAAGAAATAAAAAAATTTTTTTAAAAAATAATAAGATTCAGGAGTTTTGTAAAAATTGCGGTAGTGCAGCACATAAAGAAAAATATTGCTTAGAAAGAACTAGAAAGAAAAAAATAAATTTTATGAAAAAAGATAATGATGATGATTTTATTTGCGTTACTCAAGATTTGGGTTATGATGGTAACAGAGATAGATGGGTAGGTTATAACTCAGATAATTTTGAACAAATATATAGAGAATATGAAAAAATTGTTGAAGAAAAAAAAAAGAGAAAAGCAGAAGAATTAAAAAAAAAATATGAAAAAAAATCTATTAAAAAAAAAAAAAATTTAGATGAAAATGACGATACAAAAAATGATAAATCAAGTAGTGAAAGTGAAACTTTAGAAAAATGTAATGATGATTTAAAAGATGATTTAATGGAAACATCTGCAATTAACGCTATTAATAAAAATGAGAAAAGTAGGAATGTAGCAAGAAATTTAAGAATAAGAGAAGATACAGCTAAGTATTTGTATAATTTAAGTTTAAACTCTGCTTTTTATGATCCCAAAAGTAGAAGTATGAGAGAAGACCCTTTTGCTAACATTTCAAAAAATTTAAGTGAAGAAAATAATTATTATAAAGGAGAGAATTATTATAATAATACAGATGATGCAATAGAATCAAAAAAGTTAGAAATATTTGCATGGGAAACTTACAAGAGAGGTGAAAATGTTCATTTTAATGCACAACCAACTCAACTTGAATTATTGTATAAGGAATTTTTAGAAAAAAAAAAAAAATTGATAAAAAAAAAACAAGAAGATATATTAAAAACGTACAAATGTGAAAATTTATCAAAAGAGTTTAATGATGAACTCATTCATTCCGAAATTTATACAGAATATAAACCATCCGATCAAATTGATCCTAAACGAAAAAAAATTAAAGTGTTAAGTAAATATGAAGAAGACATTTATGCATTTGATCATTCTTCAGTTTTTGGTAGTTATTATGATAAAGAAAAAAAAAAGTGGGGATATAAATGTTGCTTATCTACAAATAAATTTGAAAAATGCCTTCATACATAATTAGAATAATTTCACAAAAAAAAAAAAAAAAAAAAGAATGTACATAATTTTTAGAAGAAAAATTATTAATTTACAAATGATATAAAATTTAAAATGTGTATTTTTTTTTTTTTTTTTTTGGTTATTAAATTACTATTATTTTTTTTTTCTAAAGAAAAAATCGCTTTATAAAAGACAAATTTTTAAATAATATAATTTTTTTTTTTTGGTTATAATTAATTTTTTTTTTTTTTTTTTTTTTATATATCATTTTCAGTAAAAAAAAAAAATTTTATTAAAAAAACATAATAAGAAATTTTGTATATTTTCTTTATATATATATATATATATATATATATATATATATCTCATTATATATATGAATTACATTTTTAATATAGCCATTATCATTAATAATATGAACATATTATGAATTATTATTTTAATGAATATTATCACTATTATCTTAAAATCATTGTTAATATTTCATAATATATTACAAATCTTAAATCTATTAATTCTGTATAATAATGAAAAATCATGATTTACGATTACTATTAAGAGGATGATTTGCAGGAATAGCCATAAAGGCATTATCTCCTTTGTTTCTATTTATTTTAAAATTATTCCACTTTTCCTTCTCTCTTCTTTTATGTAACTTTTGCTTTCTTCTATTTTCTTCATCTAAAGCATAAATAAGCATTCTTCTATATATTTCTGCTCTTACTAATCTTGTTCTTTTTCTAGTATATTGTGAATAAATGCCACCAAAAATGTAAGAAGATAAGTTACTTTCAATTCTTCTTTTCATATATTTTTTTTTTAACTTAGCTAATCTTCTTCTTATTTTTGGTTCAATGGATCTAATACCTGGTTTATGTTGTCCTCTTGGTCTCTCATACTTTCCTCGAAAATTATATTGCCACATATATCTATAATCTCTTGTTATCGGTTTATTAATTTGATAATATTTTTTCATATTTTCCTCATTTAAATTATATAAACTTTTCACAATTTTAACATATAATATTCTTGGTGAATAAAATGGAATTAATTGTTCTACTCCTACTCCATCAAATATATTTTTTACAATAAACGATGAGTCTAACCTTTTTTTTCTTATTTCTACACAGTATCCTATTAAAAAAAAAAAATTTTATTATTTTATATAATGAACAAATATAATAATTAATTTATGTAATAATAATATAAAAACTATAAAATTTAAAAAAAATTATTTTATAAAAAGTTCAATGAAATAACCTTGAAATATAGCGAAAGTTTGTTGTGATCTTGATAATTCATATTTAACCTCAATTAAATCACCAGCATGAATTTTTGGCATTTTAAAATTTCTTAATTTATTCATTTTATTCATTTCGATTAGATGTAAATTATGCATTAATTGTCTATTATAAAAATCATGAATATAATTTTTGTAATAAGGTATAGTTTTTTTCTTTTCCTTTTCACTCTTTTTTGTTATATTTTCTTCCTCTTTATCAATACAATCGATATTTGGCCAACATTTTGAAGTTTTTTCATTACTGATGTTATAACATTTATATTTACTTAAACTAGTTATAATCTTAGTTCTTATATATCTTTTTATCTATAAATTAAAAAAAAAAAAAAAAAATTATACTTTATTTTTTTGGTTAAAAAAAAAAAAGAATAATAGAAAAGTACCATTATTTACTTCATGTAATAGATAGGATTGTTAAAAAAAGCATTTTATGAAAATAATTTATTTTACTATTTTACAATTAACTTTTTATCATATAAGAAAAAAAACAGTTGAATAAATATTCTCATAAATAAGAACATCTACATTTTTTAAGGAAAGCATAATGAAATTTTCTGTTTTATAATTATCATATTTTTAAAATTTACATATTTAAAAAAAAAAACATTTCCATTTTTTTTTTTATTTTATATCATTATATTAAATTTAAAAACATTTTAAAAAAAATTTTTTAAAATTAAAGTAAAAAAAAATTTTTAAGATTCATTAAAGAAGTGCAATTAATCATAATATTTAATTAAAAAAAAAAAAAAAAAAAAATGTAAAGAAATTATACTAAATTTAATTTTTACAATAAAGAATTCCCTATTTTTAAAATTACACTTGACATAGGTTAAAATTAAGAAGTATTTTAATAAATGTATAAAATAAATTATATAACAAAGAAATAATATTCTAAAAAAAAAAAAAGTTTAAATCTTAATTTATATTAAAAATAAGCATACAAAAAAAAAAAAAAAAGGAAAAAAAAAAATAATACAAAAAAAAAAAACAAAAATTACACACATTAAAAAAAAAAAAAAAAATGTAAATGACAAAATAAATATAAATTAATATTAATAGATATATATATAAAAGTTGATTAAAAACTAATTAAAAATAAAGATACAGTGTTATATATAAATATAAATTGTATATATTAATCCCATATAATATTATTTAGTACAGATTTCGCTTGTTCATAACGATTTAATTTTCTAAAAATTACACTCAAATTATATGAAGCCGAAAATAATAAATGTTTTTTATCAAAAAAAAGGAGATAAAAGTTTGAATATTTTGTATTTAAATTAAAATAATAATTTATGAGTTTATCAAAATACGTTTTACTGTTATAACCTGAGTAATTTAAACATGTATAACACATACATTTCTTCATATTAATAACATAATTATAGATAAATTTTTCATGAATATTTAAATTATTTGCTTTTGTAACTCTTTTTATTTCTTTATCAGCTTTTTTTATTAAGTCTATAACACTAAAATATAACTTCATGCATTCATTAAAATATGATAAGTGATGCAATGCACGACCAAGATTATATAAAATTTCTGCTAAATAAATATATTTATAAATTTTATAAAATAATGAATACTTATTATATTTTTTTTTTTTTTTTAATATTTTCTGTTCATATCTTTTTGATATATACTCATTTAATAAACAAAAAGAAGTCATCATTACAGATTCTCTATTTTCCACTCTGTAGCAACTTGAATAGTTAAAATAAGATGTAGTCAAACTAAATAAGAAATTAATATTATCACATATATTCTCAAAAGTATTTATGTATTCATTTTTCTTTTTTTTATCATTGCACAATTTTAATTTAGTAAAGAGAAAACTATCCTCATCAAAACTATCTAAGTCTTCTTTCTTCAAGTTTTGATAGTTGTAATTTTCTTCTTTTATATGTTCATTTTCTTCATCATCATTTTCATTTTCATTTTCATCTTCATTTTCATTTTCATATTCATCTTCATCTGCATCATATTCATTTGTATAATTTTCATAATTTTCATAATTTTCAAAATTTTCATTTTTTTCAATTTTTTCAAATTTATCTACTTTTATTAAACCTTCTTTTAAATTACACAACTTCATTTTATTTTTTTTTCTGTTCTTCAAAAGAAATGTGTAAGCTCTTGTATACTCATGTACTGCATTCACAATCATACAAGATAAATTACATACGTTCCCAATCAAATAAATTAAAAATGGATTTGAATTTTTATAATGTAATGTTCTAACTAAAAATAATCTAAAGTTAACTAAGATATTTTTACTTTTTGATTTTGAAATAGATGTTAAAAAATTTTGACAAAAATTCCCAGTCAATATTATATCGCTATAATATTTTAAAATTTTGTATTCTTCTTTTTCTTTTTTATTAAATATATATATATCATTCAGGCATTTTATTTGTTTTTCATAGTTTCCACTAGATATATACAATTTATTTAACAATAAATTTATTCTAAATATATAATATTTGCAATCAATATATTTATTCATTTTCATTAGATTGTAATATTCGTTTTTCATTTCTTCCTTAATGGTGTTAGTAAATATATTATCAAAAAAATAAAAATTCAAATTTATTAAATTGTGATTATTACGATATTTTTTAAATTCATTTTTGATGGACCTAATGTATGTTATAAATTTCATTTTGTTTGATTTTCTGTTTTTTAAATATAAACTTAAAATATGTATGGAATCTTCATACAAATTCATTATACTAACTAAAAAAAAACATTCTTCAATAAATAATAAACTAAAATATAAACCTAAGTAGCTTTCAAATGTAAAAAAATTTAGTCTTTTTTTACTAAGTAAAAAGGAAAATTTTCTGTATCTTTTTACATTTTTATTATTTTTATTTATTAATGAACTTTCTAAGTTATTTAAATTTAGATTCAAAGAATCATAAATTTCATTATCATCTTCATTTATATTGTTGTTATCAAAACTTACATCTAAGTTATTTTCATCTAACTTTTTTGCACACAAATTATTAAATTTTTTTTTTTTTTTAAAATTTAAGTTTTCTTTCTCCATGTATGTTTGTATTCTATTAAAATCTTGTTCTAACTCATATAATAAATAAAATAAGTTGTAACTGAATTTATAGAATTTCATGATTATTTTACTGTTCATTATTTCTGATTCTACGTTGTATTTATATTTATGCAAATTTTTAAGGAATTCTCTTATATTTTTATCATTTTTATTAACATATAATTTTAAGGATAATAAATTTTCACCATTATTAATAGAAATAAAACTTTTTAAATCAATTATTAGTATATCCTTATAAAATAACTTGTTATCCATTAGTTTAATATTTTTATAAGTTATAATCCAATCTTCTACCTTATTTTTTTTTTTAAAAATATTGAATGATGATATAAGAAAAATTAGATACTCTCTCAATTTATATATACTTAATAATATTTCTCTATTTTTTTCTAAATTTTTTTTATCATTTAACATATTTAATATGTTATATAAATACAAGTAATTTAAAATGCAGAAATTATATTTAACGCAAAAATAACAAAAACAAATATTCACTTTAACTTGAATAATATCATTTATATCTCTATTTGATATATAATTATCATATTTGTAATAAATATTATTTTTTTTTTGATAAACATAAAATATATGCATAATATAGTTATTATGAGAAGTATATAGTAATAGTTTATTTTTTTTATTTAAAATTTTTAGTAATAATATTTCCCTTTCTTTATTACTTAATGGTTTCGGTATTGAGCAAATAAATCGTAGTTTTTTTTCTTTTATGCTTAATAATACATTTATAGACTTATTGTATTTTTTTAATTTGTATAAAATGTCAATGTATAAAGTTTTTATATCTATTTCTATATTATTTTTCTCTATGTTTTCATTATTCAGTATTTTTAATATAATTTTTTCAGCTTTTGTAAAATTTTCAATGTAATAATAACTTTTAACTAACTTATATACCACATTTAAAAAATTTACATGATTATCAAATATTATAACATCTTCAAGAGAAATAGTATTATCATAATGTGAATTAGTATTTATATTTACAATTTCATTTTTATTTATTTTTTCTTCTTTTTTATTATTTTCATTATTATTATTATTATTATTATTATTATTATTATTATTATTATTATTATTATTATTATTATTATTATTATTTTTCAGTATATATTTCCTTTTTTTGTATATTACTTTATAAAAGTAAATAGCACTTTCATACATATTTTTGGTGTAATAAGATTCAGCTAAAGCATAAAGTAAATCTTCATAACTCGAGTAATTATCAGAAATAACATTTAAAAAGTAACATTTAATTAAATAAAGAGAATCAATACTTCCAATAATTATGACTGATTTTATAAATTGTATAAATATATCTATATGAATATAACTGTTTGTTTTTGTTAATTTTTTATATACAAAAATACATTCATCGTATTTATTATTTAAAATTTGCGCTTGCATAAATAAAGAAATAACATTTTTTTCTTCATAAGAGAAATTATTATTTTGTTTATTTTTAATTATATATAAATAAATGTTCTTTAAAAAATTATAACATTCATTTGGACTTTTAATAATAATTAAGCAAATACAAATATATATATCAACTATAATTTCGTAAGAATTATTATTATTTTTTAAATAAAGCAAATTTTTTAAAGCATTTTTATAATCTTCTAGTAAAATATATGTAAATGCTATATTAAAATATATATGTTTCATAAAATTATCAAATTCATTTATATAATTTTCATCACTATCATCATCATCCTTATCTTCATATAAACTTTTCATATTTGTTTTTTCTTTTTCACTATCAAAGCAATCATTAGTGATTCTTTTTTTTCTTTCTTCATTAGAATTATATTTCATTTTACTTTTATTTTTTGTCTTTTTTTTTTTATAAAATTTTAATACTTTATACAAACAATAAAGAATAATGTTATACTGTTTTTCAATTTTACACAAATCAATAATGTTGTACCATGATAAAAAATCATTACGTGATAAATGTGCTGCAATCAAATAATAATTTATTGCTTTCTTCAAATTTTTAAATTCCCTTTCAAATATTAATCCTAACAAATGAAAAGGATCGTGTAAGCATGGAGATAATTTAATAACCTTTTCTAATATAATTATACATTCATCAAAGTTTTTACTAATGTAACAATTATTAGCTTTATTCATTAGTGATTCTACTTCTTTATTCATTTTTGTTGGTTCGGTTGATATTAGTATTTTATTATTTTTTTTTTTTTTTATTTTCTTTTTTTCTTTTTTTTTTTTCTTTTTTTTTTTATTAAGGTATATTTCATCATTTTCATATTCATCCTCATCATATTTCAACATTAAAAGATCTTCATCACTTATGCTGCTTGATTTTGAAGTGTCTGATGATTTCAAATTGCTTGAAATGTCACTTAATTGATTATTTTCAAATATATAAGAATCATAAGTATACACATTTTGATTTTCATTTTTTATATTTAATTGATACTCTTTATTAGAATAAAAATAAAAGTATAAAATATTGTTTAAATTTATATTGTTAATATCTAATAGTCTTTTTTCGTTAAATATTATATTTTTGTTATTGATAGAATCAACAATTTTAATTTCGTATATTTTATTAATTTCAGAGTTAATGTCATCATTCTCATTTCCTTTATTATCCTCATTGTTCATAGTATTATTATTTTCATTTGTGCCATTTTTCTTTAAATTGTTTAAATCTTCTATAAAATTGTTGAAAAAATTTTGTTCTTTTTCATATAATATATCATCAATTTCATCATCATTTAGAGAACCTAATACCAATTTTTTTTGTTTTTCTTCATAAGTTTCATTTTTTTTATTAAAATTTAACAATATATCAATTTGATTCTGTAAATTTTCATCATTGATTTTATTATTTTTAACCACAGAATAATATTTTAAAACATCATCTTCCTCTTCTTCTTCTCCTTCTTCTTCCTCTTCCTCATCCTCTTCATAATTACATTCATATTCATAATCATAATTTTCCTCTTTTTTTTCATCATAACTATTATTATTCTCTTCGTTTATTGAGTTTATATATTTTCTATATTCATTGTTGTTATATTCTTTATGTTCGTATAAATTTTTTTTTTCTCCAAAATTATATTCACTATTTACATTAAATAAATGTTCTATAAATGAATCATTATAGTCACTATCTTCTTTAATGTTTTTATTATTAACCATATGAAATGTATTTACAATATTTTCATTTTCATGATTAGGATTATTCATTTCCTTAAATTTTCAAAAAAAAAAAATATATATATATATATGTACATGGTTCATTTACTTATTTTTTATAAAATATTAATTTTATTTATTTTATTATTATATATTTTCAATGTTATCTCGTAAAATTAATATTATTTATAATTTAATTTTACATAATTTTTTTTTTATATTCTCAAGTTGTAACAATCCATTTTATTGTCATTATATTAAAAACAAAAGAAAAGTTTCAAAGTTAAAAATTTTAATATTTAGGTAGGTATAAAAAAAAAAAAAAAATAAATTAATAAAATAGAATAAATTTTTGAAACTTAAATATCTAGTTTATAATTAACAAATTTAAATTAAAATAAAAATTTTTGAAATATTGTATGAGAAAAAAGAAAATGTAGCATAAAATTATAATATACTAGTTAATTTAAAAAAAAAATAAAATTATGATTTTACAAATAAAAATTTTCAAGTTGAAATTATAAAAATAATAAAATAGGTGAAAATTTTTTTTAAATTTTCATCTCTTTATTTACTTTTTATTCCTTCTTATTAATATATTTTTCCAAGAAAATTTTCGTTATCATAATTTTTTTTTAATTTTACAAAAAAAAAAAAAAAAAAAAAAAAATACCTAGAAAAAAAAATATAAATTTTTATTGAAAATATATTATATTAATTCTTTATTTATAAATTAAAATTTTAATGAAAAATTACCAATCTACATTTACGAATTAATATATGATTTGAAGTAATATTAGTATAAAAAAATAAATAATAAAAGTTGCCTATTTATATAATAATAAAACAAAAGAATACTAAGTATTTTAGAATATTATAAAAAAGAAAAAAATAAATTACCCATAAATAGGATTTTTTTTTTTTTTTTTTAATGATTTAAAAAGTTTTATATGATTATAATTTATTATTATAAAAATATTAATATATATATATAAATTATATATGCAAATATACAACGTTTTTTTCTTATATATCTAAATTACCTTTAATTTTTTTTTTTTTTTTTTTTTTTTGTTATTTTTTATTTTTTGTAATACAATAATAGAAAGCTTAATTTCTTAATTGTATTAAAAGTTTTGTTTAAATAAAATATATATTTTCTAAATATATNTATAAATTATATATGCAAATATACAACGTTTTTTTCTTATATATCTAAATTACCTTTAATTTTTTTTTTTTTTTTTTTTTTTTGTTATTTTTTATTTTTTGTAATACAATAATAGAAAGCTTAATTTCTTAATTGTATTAAAAGTTTTGTTTAAATAAAATATATATTTTCTAAATATATGATTTGTATTTTTAATTTATCACTTTTTTTTGTGTGTGTATGTGTGCACATAAAATTAATTAAATTTTTGCTAATTTATTATTTCTTAAAATTAGCTATATAATTAGACTTATTTTTATCAAAATGTTTTTTTTTTTTTTTTTTTTTTTAAGTATATAATGTTAATAATACAATGATAAGAAAATACAAAGAAAAATATATGATATAAAATTTGTTATGCACTTAAGATGAATTCAAATTTTCTGTTTCTAAATAAAGCAAATTACAATAAGACAAGAAAAATTTAATTTTTAATGTGCTATATAATTTTTTTAAAATATTTTTAAGGGTATTATTACTATTTAAATATTTACATGGTAATAGAAAAAAAAAAAATAAATAAATAAATAAATAAACAAAAGAAAAAATATGTATATATATATATATATATTTACATATATATTTATATATCATATTTTAATATAATATATATAGAAATATTTAGAGAATTAATTAAATATAAAATATTTTAAACAGTTTATAAGAATTACTAAATATATAGATAATATATTTTAAATTAAATTTTATAGTTGTTGTCGTGATTGCAACAAAAATAAAGTTTCTCTTTTATTTTTTTTTTTTTTTTTTTTTTTTTTTTTTTTTTTTTTCTATTATGCAAAATAAAAAATGAAGTAATGATTTTATGAAAGTACATAAAAAAGACTTTAATGAAATTACACATTTATATTTTTAGTAATTTTTTTTTTAAAATTCTTTAAATTAAAATGTTGAATGATTAAAAAAAAAAAAAAAATTGTATATTTATTCTATGGTAGATATATTATTATATATATAATATTTCATAATGGTGTAAACATTATTTTTTTTTATTAATATTTATTAGATATATATAGTTATATTAAAAGAGAAAATTGTATATATTATTATTTTCATAAATGTTGATAACATATTAATATATTGGTAATGTTGTTACACTGTTGTTATTCAACTTAAACGATGATTATATAAAATATGTTATTATATATATTTCAATGAAATATTTGCACAAACGTAAATTTAAATAAACATTGAAAAAAAAATCTTATAGTGAATTATATAGTAATACATATTTTTTTTTTTTTTTTTTTTAGAATGTTAAATATGATTATGTAAATGTTGAATTTAATATTT